AAGGCACTTACTGCCAAGCCGGATGATGACCTGAACTTGACCCTCAAGGCCCCCATGGTATAAGGAGAGCTGACTCCTGCATAATCTCTGACACCATAGCATACCATGGCAGGCATGGGCAAACACACACACACACACACACACACACACACACACACACACACACACACTAAAATATCATATAAGAACTCTGTTTGTCACATAGACTGCCATGCTTTGGAATATGCATACATTGTGGAATGGCAGACCTGAGCTAATGAATCAACATGTTATTGATACAGTTGCCATGAGATTATGTGCTTTGGAATGCTGCATTTGGTGCTCCACATCTCCCCAGGGAGACTTGTTAACCAGAATGTGGCCTGGACTCACACCGGACTGTGGTCATCTGCTCTCATTTTTCCAGTGTTACAGGTTGAACAGAACTGGAGTGGCTGCCAAACTGACGACGTTCCCAGAAACCCTGAGTTTCATAAACGGTCAAATCACTCAGGCAGGGAGCTTCCAGGAGCAGCCACACCTCAAGGGATTACATTCAGCTCCTCACAGTTCCAGAGTTATCAACAGTTGGGGGGTGGGGGGACGGGAGCTGGATGGAGCGAGCAAAATCACCGGTGGGCCACATATCACAGCCTCTGTGGGGACAAGAACAGCCCCTACCTCTCCCTAGTGAGAAGCTGGTCCCACCGGTGCCCCTGCCAATCATCAGTTGGACTGTACCAGATCTCTCTGTGATGCTGAGACATAACAATGTCACAGGAGGTTGTGAGGAGGCCTGGAACAAGGGCAATAACACTGCATCCTCTTAGCTTTCTGCCTTTTGGTCTCCCAAGCAGTTTCTGATCTGCAGGGACCGCTCACTCAGTAATCATTAGCCATCATTGTTATTAAACATCCTTGAAGGATGTTTCACACAGGTGTGGTATGGGCCGAAGAACCATTGCTGCTCCTGCTCAAAGCCATTGCTAGAGCCTGGATCATGAATATCAGTGCCCCCCACCCCACCACCACAACCACCACCAAGTTAGCATTGCATAAATTGTTTTTCTGGAGCTGTGGGTGCTGTGCATACTGCCCTCTGCTGGCCATGGGTGGCTTATATTTGCTCAGGCCACCTCTACTTTCCTCAATGAACTTGTTGCTAGGTGTGACGGTCTTCACTCCGCCTTCACAGTTTTGGCCCTTGCCGAGGCTCAGAAGCACCGCATCCTACACCACCGCCCCTTTGCAAATGTCTCTGCTCCATCGACATTCGGTGAGCCTCGACTGACCTCTACCTCCCCCGTGGCAGGGGACGGTCTTGTTAGGACTGCAAAAGATGCCTTGGCACAGAATGACCAACCTGCACCCAGAAACAGAAGCAACCCTAGAACCAGCCCCTGGAAGCCCAAGGCCAAGTCCTGTGGACCACTCCTTTGAAATGCCCTGTCCTCAGGACTTCGAGGACCTAGTTCCCTCTGTTCCTTCCCCTCTTCCCCTCAGGCAGGAAGCTGGATAGGCAGATCTTCAGCTATGAGGGACATAGAGCCTGCTTCTCTGTACAAACCCAGAGTCACAGATGCTGTCTTTTAGGGCAGAAGCAAGATGGCCAAAGTCCATGTGAACCAACCCTGATCCTTATACTCCTGCAGGGTTTCTGTGTCAGCGTCTCTGGCACTTACTAAAAACAGCTCACAAATCCCTCCTGTTTCCAAGATGTCCATGTATGTGTCTCCAGCAACCCACAAGCGTCACTCACAAGGACCCGAATACCATTCACCTGGAATGCCCTCATCAGGGAGGACATGACCTTCCCAACCTCTGGGACAGTGGAGACCTAACTCAGTGACTCACCAGCAGCGCAGTCAGCCTCCTTTCATTCACACTGACCATGTTATGTATGTGCTCCTTGGCACAAAAGCCAGTTTTAGCTGAGCGTGGTGGCACACACCTGTACTCCCAGCACTCAGGGAGTCAGAAGCAATTGGATCTCAGTGAGTTCGAGGCCAGCCAGGTCTACAGAGCGAGTTCCAGGACAGCCAAGGCTACACAGAGAAATCCTGTCTCGAAAAACAAAAAAGCCAGTCTTGTGCACTCTGCCACTGAGGGCATCTTCAGACCTTCTCTTATGAGGCAGGGTATCAGTCTGGCTCAGACCCCAGGCCAGCCTGCAGTCACTATCCTTCAGACTCTGTCTCCTGAGTGCTGGGATTACAGGCATGTACTACCGCAACAGCCTTAACCGGCCTTTCATAATCCTGACCTTCCTTTTTTCTAATTTAAACTTGAGCCTCTAGTCGCACCTCTGCTGACTCCCTTACTCTCTTTCTCTGACATGTTCTGCCCCCACTGAAAAGATGTGATTGGAAGTCAGAGCCATAACTAGATAAGTTATTAAATGAAATACATTTGTAGCTTTAATGTCCAGTTTTGTATATGATTTTAAATTTAGTGTGGAGGGGTATATGCACGTGGGATGGAGATGCATGTATGTAACTAGGTGAGTGTGTGTGCGTGCATGTGGGCAAGGGGTGGCTCAGACTTGACAGGAAGTGCCGTAACTCACTGAGCCATTCCACAGGCCAACTTTTGTATAGTGTTGATGAAGCCCCTGCCAGCCTGCATAGTCCCACCTTGAGCATGGAGGGAAAGCCCCTGATAGAACGAAGATTGTGGCAAAGGGGTGGGACACCTCGCCTTACCAGAGGGCAAGTAGATGTGCACTCCTAGGCCTTCCCTCTGGCCCTGCTGCGTTAGATGCTATGACTAATACGGGACTGAGTTCCCTTTGATGTGTAGCTATCTAGCTTAGGTAAATTCTCTGCTTGAGACCTATGGCTCACTCCAAGCTCACACACAATTAGAGGCCAGAAACATTCCATGACAACCCATCCTCTAGGCTTTATGAGGGTCCTTTCATAAGTACTTGCTCTGAACAGGTTGTCTTGTGCCTGACACTTATGTTTCCCATCCTGGACCCCATAAAAGCAAGTGCCTGGGTCCAAGGCTTCATCACCACAGCTTGCTGACTTTTGTGTGCATAGCTTGGGTGAGCTATACACCGTGGAAAACCATAGCAGCAATATCTTTGTTTCTGTGACTGTCTCCTAACCACGGCAGGGCGTCCTCTGTCTCTGCAGTTCTAAATGGAACCAATGTCTGCACAGAAGAAAGAAACTAGACAGGAGAACACCACAGGCTTGAGGAGCTGCCAGGCTCAAGCAAGCCAAAGCCTGCCCAGGAAGTATCTCTCCAGTCTCTGCCCTCCAGGAACAGAGGCTGCTGCCAGGGAGCTCAGCAGCTTTCAGTCACAGACACACATGTTTGGCAGCAGCCAAAGGACTGCTATCAAACCAGCACCAAGAAGTTCCAAGTCCAGAACAACAACTGGGAGGAGGAAGGAGCTATTTTCAGAGAAGTCCCCTCCCCCCAAGCCTCCACCCCAAGCCAAAGAGGATCTCAGGCACCCAAGACCTGAAGCCCTGGCAACAGACATGCAGCAGGCTGAACCTGGCTGGGTTCTAGTTCCAGCTGAAGGAATGGTCCCTACATTCAGGGACAGGGACAGTCATGCTCAGAGAACTGGAGCCTGCCTAGGCACACAGCTCAGGCACTGTGCCCTCTGCCTTCAGGAGCAAAGGTCAGTGGGTGAAGTGCCACTTCAGAAGCCTTGGTCTTCCTCCTACTGGGCCAACTACAGGACAGTCGGTAGAGCCAGACTGTCCTCCAGATCTCAAGAAAGCATGAGGGTCCCCTGCACCAAGTCCCAGAAGTGCAGCCCCCTTTTCCTCTCCCCAGAGACACCAGTAAACAAACAGAAAACATTTGAGTAGAAACAAAAAACACATGACATCTGGCAAACTGAACAGAGACCAGAGTTTGGCTACTAAGTCACAATCTTGCATCATCATGATTTATTAGACAGGAATCAGCTTTTCAACACAAGTCATGCTCACCATGCCCCACCCCACAGGAAGGCTTTGGGAGTCAGGGTAGGAAGGGATGGGTTGCCCAAGGAGGCCCCAACCTAAGCTCTGAGCAACTGGCAAGCCTAGTGCCCAGGAATCTGAGTTACAGTGTATTCTACTGCCACTGCCCAAATGACCCCTTCAAGGGGAGGAAGACCAAATAAATAGTCAATAAATAATCAAGGCTGGCCTTTTCTTCCCCTGGGATCTCAGTGAGCCACTGGCTGGGCCCTGTCCTTCCTAGCTAGCTCTGGCAACTCAGGCAAGAATGTGAAGTCCCTACTCACTCTCTCAGAGGGGTAAGCCATGGTCTGGAGTAGGGGGGGGGGTCTCCTAGACTGATCCTCTGTGGTCTGCAGTCTCTGTCCCTGTGCCTCGCACAGAGCCATATGAGCATGGGAACAGGGGGTCTCAGAAACCAGAGAGTCACAGCGCCAATAGTGCCCCATATCCATCACCTGTGTCTGCCCCCAGCCCCAACCCCAAATCTCAATGCCATTGGGACCAGCTCTGGGATCTACCCTACCACAACCCAGTGAAGAGTGTGGCCTCCTGACAGGTTCTGGGGAGTGAGTGAATAATCTACAGAGGGAGAAGAACATGACTAGAACATTCCAAAGACACACCACCTCCCTGCCATGCCAAGCGACTTCACTGCTACAAAAGGCTAAACACTGAGGTTTTGATCTAACCGTACTGGGGTTTGGTGTGTTTCTTTAGGACATCAGCATCTCCCAGGAATGTCACATATAGAAGTGCTGGAAACTTAAAGAACAATCCACTCCAGAGCTGGAGAAGGCCTGTGTCCGGATCCAATATTTCAACAAGGCGGAAAAAGAGTTGAAAAGCTTGGAGTATTCTGGGCCATTGTGCCTTCTCCACAGAGACGTGTGCCCTTTCTGGGACTGGGCTGAGTCCCAGCTTCTGTCCCCTGGATGGAAACAGTTCCCAGCAGGTCTAGCTTCTCAGCCAAGATCTGCTTGGAAGAGAGAGAAAACCGCCAAGTGTGGGGATTTAAGCACAAGTTGGCTCCAGCTGTGGCCTGACTGACCACAGAGCTTTTCCAAAATGCTGGGAACACAGGGGAAGCTGAAACCAGACTGGCTCCGGTGTGTGGATCCCACAGCGCTGTCAGGGAGAGCACAGAAGGGTCAGGCCGAGGGATGAGGCCAGTGGGAATGCAGGGTCTCCAGGGACATCAAGGCTGGGCCATCCGCAGCAGCGCATCTGAAAAGGACGTGACAATCACCACCTAGTCATCCCTTCACCTTCCCTCTCCCTGGAAAGCGCCCTCAGCCTACTCCTGTTCCTCTGTGTCACCTCCCTCTGTCGAATTGGACCTTTTACTGCCCACAGCTAGCCTCAATCTACAGACGGCTCTCACCCACACCCTATCCCCACCTGTGGTCTGCCTACCAGAGCCCTTCATTTCTTGTGCTAAACAAGCTAACTCCTGAGCTGGAGAGATGGCTCAGAGGTTAAGAGCACTGTCTACCTTTCCAGAGGTCCTGAGTTCAGTTCTCAGCAACCACATGGTGGCTCACGGCCATCTAAATGAGGATCTGATGCCCTCTTCTGCCATGCAGGTATACATGCAGATAGAGGATTCAAATACATAAAATAAACAAACAAACTAACTCCTGAGTCCAAAAGAAGCCCCTGTGATGGTCCTGGTCCCCTTCCCCCCACCACAGGCCCCTCAGTCTGGCCTCAGGTCAGTCTCTCCCTTCAGTACCTGCGGTCAGAGGGCAGCTGGTCACTCCCACAGGAAGCGCACGTACCAGATGGTCTCGTTCTTCAGTTGTGGCCCAAACAGGGGGTTCAGCTGGGCCAAGATGGCGATGAGCCAGCTGCCAGGGACAGCAGAGTGAGGGGTACTGGGCACAGAGGGACCCATCGTACCCACCATCCCGGGGTGAAGAACTCAGCTATGCTCTCTTTCAAAGAGCATGCGGCTAACCCAGCATGTGCAAGGCCAGTGTCCTGGGTTGCACAGGGAATGGGTGGATTTGTGGATTTTGACGTGAGAATGTCCCTAAGCTGGGCCTGGAGCTTAAGAAGCCACCCCAGCACTGCCACGCACCCCTAGTGGTTCCGAACTGGCTCTACTCCAATCACTCGGGCATTCCTTAGCAGTATGGTGCCCTAATTTCTATGTGAATTTCCAAGTCTAGAGTGGACCATGAAAGGTGTGTTTGAACCTCCAATCTGGAGGATTCTGTTGCCCAATTAGGAGCAGATGCTACTGAGCTGACCCAACTCATGTGTCCCACAGCTCAGCTGGGGGTACCACAAAAACCTACGCAACTGTTGCCTGAGAGGCTGAACCAGACCCAGCTCTGGTGGTCACCACAGCCCCAGCTCCTGGGGAAAGCAATACTCACAAGAGGTAACAGCAGACGGCAGTGGCCACCAGCATGGTGATGATCACCCTGTAACAGCAGAGAGAAGAGCAGCGTTGGCAGACAGAGAAAGAGCTCCCCGGGTCAGCCTTCCAGGAACTCCTGGTCCCCTCTGAGTAAGAATTACAAGGCGAAGCATAAGAGCATCAGTGGTCAATGACATCCAAACTCTGTTGTAAAACTCTCCCCTTCTCCCTCTTAATGCTGGAGAAGGCTTTGTCCAAGCTTCATTTGTGACAGTCCACTAGAGAACAGCCTCAAAATTCACATCAAAGAAAACAACGGAGCACGATACTGGGCAAGAAGCAAGGAAAGAGCTACTGTTAACTGGGATGTTAGAGAGAACACGGGGGGGGGGGGGGCTCTGTACCCACTTAAAGAAAGGCTTACAACACAGCTGAAGGGGCGTGCTGGACAAGGAGCTCACCAAGACTTTCAGGAGAGATGATATGATTACAAAGTAAAGATGTGGAGCCCAAGTTTAAATCCCTTTTAAAGATATTTATTTCTATTTTCACTTACATAGGCACGTGTTTGTATGTGGCTATGTGAACATGTGTGCTGGTACCCAAAGGCCAGGGGGGCCTCAGCTCTCCTGGAACGGTAGCTAAAACAGTTGTGAGTCTATCGATGCGAGTGCCAAACCCTGGTCCTCTGGAAACGGAGAACTGCTCTATTGAGCCATCTCTCCAGCTGCCTTAAGATTTGTAGGAATAAAGGCAAGCGCCATCTGTCTACACCTCCGGGTTAGGCTCACCTAATCCACGGCAGAGCCCACGCCCTTCGAGGGGACGCGGAGCCCTTCCTTTAACATTAGCAGGCAGTCGGGACAGTCTAGTGCTGAGACTATGGACATGTGGGCCAAGTATGAGGGTTTCGTGACTGAGAGGCTAACAGAGGAGGGACTGGTCAATGCAGAAATCTGCTAGGAACCTTCCAAAAAGGAAGCCAACTAGAACCATCCAGCACACACAAGGTGCCCTGGACGCTGCTTGGGGCAATCCACACAGTCTTACACAGTCTTACACACCAGGTGATGCCTCCGTCCCTATTTTCCTCCTTGAGGAAGCTGAAGCCTGGTATTTGCCCAACGTCACACAGATAGCAAGGAAGGCACATTGGTGCCCATCTGCGGCCTTTACCGACTGCACGGGTTCGGGCGGGTGGCAGGGGGGGAGACTGGCCTACAAACGTAGCCCGCTTGCACCTCACTTCTGAATCTATCCCTTCACCCAGCCCTCCGGCCTGTTTCCTGGATGCTGCGCCCCGGGTGCAGAGATCTGGAAGAAGTAATGGGGAGGCGCTCCTGTGAGGACCTGAATTTCCCGGTAGCAAGTGAGAGCCTCAGCTTGAAGGGGCGAGCCCAGCTAACGGACAGGGGAGGGTCTGCAGGGACTCGAGGCCTGCTCGCCTTTCTTACCCGCGGTTGGGTCCTTTGGGCACGAACCAGGGCCCAGCGATGCCGATGAGGCCCCAGAACGTGGTGAAGATGATGACAGGGAGGGCAAAGGAGTGCGCTGTCATGGCTGGGAGCTGGGAGCAAGATGTTCAGGTGAGACGTCAGATGGAACAGCAGACTCTCCAAGCAAGTGCACGTACCGGCAGAGGGCAGTGAGCATGCGCAACGGGATCCCAGCGGCAGAAGCCCTGGACCAAGCGAATCTGCGCTCGCGCATCTCTGAACCCCGTCCGCCGGGAACGCAGCCTGCTCACCAGCTGTCACTCAGGACCAAGGGAGGGACTTCCGAGGAGCCTTTTCCTTGATTGGCTGAGTAGGGTTTGCTCCGTCGCAGGTGGTTCCAGGCTTTGGTTTGCACTTTCCTTTTTTATTCCCATTAGGATGTGGCGGGTCACGTGTTGTACTTGGGCAGCCCAAGGTGGCTGGAGACAGGGGACAGAGGACATTGGGACAGGTTTGGAGGAGACCAGAGCGGGTTTTCGACCAGAAGAGCTCATGTAGCTGAGAGACCACTGACTTGGCCTCCCGTCTTTTCAGCCATTCCTAAATTGCCCGCAATTGGTCGCGGGCACAAAGGAGGCTTTGCGCAAGTGTCAAATTTAATAGTTTTCTTCAGCAGGACAGGAAGGGTCTTCCTTGGGCTTTTTGGTCCCACATTTCCTCTCTTTGTGGAAAACAGTGGGATCTGTTGATCTCTACCCTCTGCAGAGATCCTTTCTACAGAGAGCAGTGGCTCCGGGAGATATGTGTAGCCGCAGGTCCTGCGATGCGGCCGACCAGGGAAGCTAGAGGGTGCGCAGCATGGGAAAATGGTCAACACACACCGTGTGCCTTGCCTGCCCATGCTTTGCCAGTAACGTGCTCTATCCAGAGCAGACACAGCTCACAGACACCTTCCCCTAGTTAAGACTTTTCTATTCATCTTGTCAAATTTCATGCAAGTTGGAGGTGAAGAGAGGGTGCTATACAAAGATCTCAGGTGAAAAAATCCAAGCTAGTTGCGGTATCATGTGATAAAATACTATTGAGTGGATTTGTCAAAAAACAAAACAAACAAACGAAAACCCTTGTTACTGGCCAGTGTGATGACGTGCCTGTAACTCCAGCAAGGTGAAGTCACTGTCTTGTCTCCGGTGGGGAGACCCATGAGAGTTTCTGGTTGGCTTTGGCTATACGGAGTACCTAGCTGCGGTTCTCATCGAGTTATCCTCTGACCTCCACACATACATCCATCATGTGTGTCTCACAAACACGCACATCTTAGACACAAAAGTGTATGCGATTTTTAATCATATACATTTTTAAAATGTAAAGATTCTTAAAGTTTCCAGACCCTCCCTGGGAATCGATAGGATATCAAACCTCACTGCTATAGGCCTGTCTCAATTTCTTTGTAGATATTGGGGGGAGGAGGGGACAACAATCCGGGATGTCTGTCTTTTAAGACAAGCTTGGCTATTTCCCAGTGGTGTGTGCTACTGCTGTAGCAGAGGTGCTCTGCAGATCTGAAAGAGAAAACAAGTTGAGTGAAGGACTCCGCCTGAGGCGAAGCCTCCCTCAGCAGGGTGAACCTTGCACCCGCTAGAACCCCCTGCAGAGCTCGGGGAAGGGGTGCAGCCCACCGGGGAGCTGGAGGGGGAAGCCACGTCCCCACAGCAGTCATTCCTGAGAGGTGTGCAGCAGCTGGGGACAGGTCTTACATTTCTCTGGGAGCCGCCACTAAAGCCTCACACCCCCAGCCTGCCTTCTGCAAACTCACACACTGCCTTTGTGGTAATCGGTACAAAGAAGGACGATAGAGGCTTATCTTACACTAAGGAGAAAGGCCTTTCAGGACTGTTCCACAGAAAGGTGGCCCAAGAAGGTGGGCCTTGTTCTTGTTTCCAGAACTTGGCAGCCAAGAGCAAACACTCTGGTACTCTGTCCATCTATCTTCATAAGGGACTCTGTGACTTTTTCTCCACAGAAGTTTCATGGTTTTTCTGTAGCAAGTCCCCGAGCTGTGACCTAGCAGTGGCTGCTGCAGGGAGAGAGTAAAGTGGCAGCAGCAACACAGACTCCCTGGGACATATCCTATGGGTTAATTTCCTCGTTGCTCTGACAAAGTTATGGGTTTATGAGGGCTCGCATCTCACCATGGCGGGAAAGACAGGGTGGCAGGAGCGTGGGTGGCGGTCACATTGCAGGAAGCAGAGAGGGGTGAGCACTGCTGCTCAGCTCGGGATCCCAACCCCGTAGAACGGGGCTGCCCATGTTTAGGTTGCTTCTTCCGCCCCAGTTAACCCAATAGAGACATGCCCAGATATGTGTTTCCTAGGTGATTCTAGATCGAGTTCACAGTGTTGTACCACACTCTTGCGCTTACCAGAGCTCCAGGGACTTCAGGGGTTTGTGCTCCATGGGGTCCCTTCTGTGAGTCACACTTAGCCCCAGCCGTGCCGAAGACTTCAGAAGGATGCTGGGACTACAGAAGGGGGAAGATACTGAAGGGAAGTTACTGCTTCGCCCTGGTTAGGAGACCACAGCTGCACTGCCTTCTCACGGGACTTGACAGCCATGTCAGAGAAGAGTATAGACAATCATGATAGCCCTAATGATTCACTGGGTCGAGAACCCAAGGCCAAACTTGGCCCTAGCTTCTCTGGGTCACTGGAAAAGCTGGCCAGCCTGAGCCACTGTGGTAAGAACTTCAAGAGCTACAGACATGGCTTCCATAACAGAACCCAGAAAAGAGGACCTTTTGTGTCTCCAAATGGCAGAGGCCTTCCATCTAATCCAAGGGGACCTCGGAAAGCACGGGAGGACCCGAGAGGTAGGGTGGATGTACCAAAAACGCAGGCAGGATCTCCTCACCACCCAGCCCCATGAACCCTGAACACCAGCAGATGGCTGCTGGGAGGTCTTTGTCCCAAAATGAGGCTGGCATTCCATCTATGGCAAATGCCTAGTCCCCTACAGAGCCATAAACCACAAAGCACTTCTGCCATAGTGACTTTTCTTGTGTCGAGATAGGGTCTTCCATGTCTGTGATAACAGGTTTATGCCATCATGCCTGGCTCTTCCTGCTGTAACAGGAGAAGATGATGGGCTCTAGGCAAAAGCACATCCGCACAGGAGCCCGATATCTGTCTGGTCTATGGAAAATGTTAGACGATGTGTCACTCTCAGGCCTCCACTCTAGGGTGCAGAGTTGAATGTGCCTCTGGGTGCTGAGGGTGGCAAGAGTGATGAACACAGGCAATGTTCAGAGAGCCAAGCGCAGTGGGAAGTCTTAGTGTCTTTAAAAACTCAGTTATGTTATATAAACATGGTTTTGTTTTAATCCCGGTGTGGCTATGGGGCTAATTCAGATTGTCCACAGCAGCAGACTATTTGCAGGCTCTGAGAGGGGCTCTTTGCCAGCAGCAGTTTAATTCTGAGGACTCTGGGGGCCCAGAGAGTGTTTGGGGGTTCCAAGAAAGACGAAGGCCGCTTGTGCTGCCCCCACACTGCTCCTGGTTGCTGCTGTCTCTGCACTTTGACAAGAAGAAAAACTTGAAGATATCCTGAAATGAAGATTGGACTTGCCCCAAGGACCCTAACCAGCAAGAAGTAGCAAAGTGGACTCTGTCCCTCTCCCCACAAACCTTCTTTCTCTCCTACCTGGTGTTGGTAGGGGTAAGGGGTGGAGAAGGGAAATAAAGGCATAAGAAATGTAAAGAAATCATTTTTTTTAAAGTACCCTCACAGCCAAGTGAGAGGCTCAGGGGTGGCACCAGTACAGGAAAGCCTTCTTGGGTCTGAAGATTGTGTTTACCCACGGGAAGACCCAGGCCGAGGAGGCTCTGTCTCAGAGCCCCCAGCAACAGGCTGTGACACCTGGAAGGTGTGATGCAGCAGGTAGCTGCACCCTCGGTTCTCCTCACACGTGGAGACGGCAGAGGACCAGCCGGTCCCCAGGCTTCAACTCACCAGCCTCACCTTCCAGCATGTTCCTTGAAGAAGCTACCTTGCTACCTGGCAGGTGCAGCCTTCCCTGGGAGCTTTCCTGCTGAATCCTCGGAAGGCTGGAGGACTCTCCATGCCACTGTGGGCTGCCTCTAACCTTGTAGCCGCACTGTTCTAGCCCACAAAGTCCCGCGCGCTGTTGCTTCCAGCGGCTCCTTAGCGCCACTGAAAACCACGCATGTGCAGATGCAGCAGTCTCCTGGCGGAAGCTTGGGTGTATCCTAGCACCTTGCCACTCTGCTCCATCCTGCCCGGAGGGCTCATGGTGGACACCCGAAGTGGTACTTTGGGAATTGTGTTGGGTGGAATCACGGCCTTGGCACGGCTGGTGCAAATGGGTGATTTTCCCTTGAAAGCCTGGCTTTTAGATGAAGTCCTCTGACAGCTGCAATGTGGGGAACAACAGTGAGCATGGAACACTTGATTCTAACGGTGCTCTTCACCCTCATCTCCATCTTCACGCTCATGGCTTCTCATACTCTTGGCTCACTCAGGATTTAGAGAGGAAGGAACAGTAAAGACAGTAATAAAGTCAAATTTTGCTTTTTTCAAATAGCAAAAGTTAAGACTTAAACAATCCAGGAGTCCAGAGCATCCTCGACCAGTCATCCTTGTTCCTGGCTACACGGGTGCCAGTCTGAGGGAAATGGTGACCTTCATACTGTCCTGACCACACTCTGCACTGCAGGGATCTTGTACCACAAAGGTCTGCTCTACTGGCCAGAAGCTGAGCTTCCTCACGCCCCCAAGTCTCTATGGCTACCGAAATCAAAGTGCTGAGTACAATGCTGGCCACTTAGAGTAGCAGCCCAATGGGCACTAGTTATCAAGGGAGGGGATCAGTTATCAAGTGCTGTGAAGAGAATAGGCAGGAGGCAGGGGGAGGTGGCCCAAGCCTTAAATCCCTTAAATCTGGGAGGCAGAGGCACATGGATCTCTGTGAGTTCAAGGCCAGCCTCATCTACATAGCAAGTTTCAGGGCAGACGAAGCTGCACAGAGGCAGACAGGTGGAGTGGGGGTGAGATGGGTGTCAAGCATGTGAAAAAGGGCAGGGAAGGAGGAGGAGGGCTGAGGCCAAAGCAGCAGTGCCTCCTCCTTCTCCCAGTGACCTCTGGCTTGTTTTCCCGAGGCAAAACCAGATGTGCCTAGTGAAATGCAGCCACTCCTAAGGGCAACACAGGACCAGCCTGAACATAGAGCTGCAAGGTGAGGATGCTCACCATGTGTCCACCTCGAGGGCCTAAACAGGAATATTTCTTCTTTGTCTTGAGCTGGCAAAGGGGCACTGGGGAGTACTTGCTCCAGTCAACAAACAAAACAGTAACAACAAAACCCCAAACCTTGAGTAGACAAACACCGAGGCTAAGCAGCCTGCTCTGTGCGGCACACCCACCCGGTGTTTCTAGCAGACTTAGCCTAGGAACACCCTGCTTCACATCCAGAGGTGACCTCAGGGTGCTGGTTTGGGGAGGACAGGGTGCTGTCCCACCTGGTAGCCACCTCAGCTCTCCAAACCTCATTCCAGAAACCGTGCTCACCTCACTCACAGGACTGGTGTCTCGCTGAGGGGATTTTTCAAAGAAAAGATGCCGTGGCAGAGGCGCTTGCTGGAGCCACATGGATGGAGACCTACACCTCCACCCTGACCTGGCAAATCCCTGGCCTCTGAGAAGACTTGGCCTGGGCCACCTCCTAGATCTGGCCAAAGGCCTTGCCTGCCCTTTTCCTGCAAATGCTTAGCTGGATGGGGGGCTTTTCTTGAGCGGGAAAACCATATACTGCACACCAAGGCTACATGCTGAGGTGGAGAGACGTGGGCCTGCATAATGCTGAGGCTCCTGGGCGCAGAATGCTGAGGCTCCTGGGCACAAAACCTCAGGTTTTCAGCACCTGCTGGAAGGAGTAGGTAGGTGGCTTGGTCAGAGGATGTGTGCTCATGGCACAGAGCAGCGGACTGCCCATTTAAAATGAGCAGGAGTCAGAGGCAAGGGGCCCTTCCATTGGGTAATTCTCCAACCTGAAGCCAAAGGCAGAACCTAGACACATCATCCATCCTAACCAACAGGCCTTCCACTGAGCCTGCAAGGCCAGGGTGCCCTGGAAGGAGCAGAGCTTCAATTCGCAATAAAAGGAAAAGGGGGAGAGGACCCATAGGCCTAGTTTTAGGAGGCCCTTTTATGAGAATGAAGTGGCTGTTAAGCCAGAGGACACCCATGAAGGACCTGGGGAAGGTTCTGGGAAACTACAGCTGCTGAGCTGGTGTGGGGACTATGATTCTACATGTCCAAGATGGGGACACTTAACAAGCTGTGGTACTTCTGCACAGTCAGCAGAAGGGTGGGTGCACCTGTCCTGTGGACAGGACGGGAGGACAGCACCTCTGCCTGCAGTAGGACTCTAGCGGCAAGGCTGATACAATACCTTTACCACTGAGGACAAGCAGGGTAGGAGCAGCAAGTGCTCTAGGCAAGCCCTGTTCTCCAGGACCTGGAGAACACATTCCTGCTGACTGCTATAGCTACAGGGAGCCAGCAGGCACTTGGATTCCCTGTGACAACCACATGAGGAGTGAAACTGAGGCACAGAGAAGAGGAAAGGTTTAACCATGCACACATTGTCTGCAGAATAGCTGGCCTGGACTCCAGGCCTCCCAACCCCCACCTCTTGTGCACTCCTCAGGAAACTGTATCTGGTACCACAGCGTACCAGGGTTCAGGGGTGGGGAGGGAATGCCAGGTTCCCTTCAGAGGAAGCATGTCTCACTATGGAGGAGCTGTGGTGAGACCACCTCTCTCTGATGCTCTGTGCAAAGGACGCTTAAGGCAGGTCTTGAGGGGTAGGGTCTCCTTGATTCTACTGCATGAGCCTTGGCAATGGTCCAGAATGGCCAATCCTGGGGGCTTCTGCAGCAGGCCAAGGTCCCAGCACCAAATGGCCTTCCTCATAGGCCACCTCCTATTTGTGCCAGGGATGCAGAGAGCTGGGGTGCTCCTTTCTCCCACCACCCCCACTCTCCCATTTTGGTAAAGCCCTCTGCCACAGGAATATGCGTGGGATGAACTCTCTCATGGCAATTCTTTCTCTGGGCAAAATGGACTTGAGGTAAGTGCCTCTCTGGCATGCTTTGCACTGGGAGGCACTGCTGCGCCTTGAGGGCCTTGTTTTGGGGGGATGTCGGCTTCAATCCTCTGTCACTGTCCACATTCTGGGCCTATAAGGCATCCTGTCAAGACAGCCTAGACTCTCTTCAGAGAGCCTCTCTCCACAATCAAGGAGACCCCAAAGCCTCATCCAGGCTACTACTCTTCAGGAGTACGGGGCCTTTGAGATGGTATAGAGTCCAGGAACCTTCACCATGTGATCCTTCTGGACCTCACGGCTCCCCAGATAGTATATGGATGTCTTCTGGGCAGCCATGGAGTCCTCCTTACACAATGCTGCACCCCCTTCCTTCCTGAGCCCTGTGCCTGTGGAAGAGACAATGGGGAGAACACTGAACAGACATGACTGCCTTCCTCACCCCACATCTAAGTGTGGTTAGGCAACATTTAGAACTAACCAGACTGGCCAGCCCTGAATCCTGTACTACTCACCTGCCTGCTCTGCCTGGTCTCTTCCCCCCCAGGGCAAAGGACTGGGTTGGGGGCCCTTGTCCTCAGGGGACTTATGGAAATGTCTGGAGGTCCTTTTGGTTACCACAACTGGGATGCAGGTACTGGTATTCCAGAGGGGAATTGATGGGCTAGCGGCCAGGGACCTGCAAGCATCCAGGGCCCAGGGCCCACTGCAAGAAGTCATCAGGCCCCGACTGTCTGCAAGGCCTGCTGCGATGGTGGAGCATCACATACAGCTTGCTGCTGTCTCCATTGCTTCTTTGTGGGTATCAGTCTCATGAGCCCCAGGGAGCGGACAGCTTGCCCCCAAAGCATTGCTGCCAGTTTTTCCTCCCTCACCCCTGTACAGGTGGCAGACTCAGAAGGCCGCTCTTTGCCATCACAGGGAATGAGACACATCTCCTACTTCCTGTCCCTTTGTGGTGCCAGGGGCCATCAGCCTTCCTGCAGAACTCAGTCACCCCAGACCACTGCCCAGGCCACTGCCGAGGACCACAGGCTCAGAGGTAAAAACATAACAGTGGGAGCAGAAGGAAGTTTATCAGCTGGAAAAGTGGCCAGGGACAAACCCTCTCTGTCCCTGCTGAGCAGTGTGGACAGGCTTTTGTCTCCAGGAGGACTGGAGGAGAGGGGAGTTTCCCACTCAGCTATCAGTACTTGCCCTCTGATAGAATACAACCCCACCCTCAGGCTGGTGGGTAACAGAAGGCTTCCTGTCTGTTTTCAGGCTCTTCTGCTCCAGGGATTCCCAAGTGAAATTGCTCTACACACTGCTTCCTTCTCAGACACCCTGACCGTCCACTCTCTTCTCTCCTGAAACTCTGCTGCCTGGCTCAAAGTCAACCAAAGCAGCTTGGGACATGACACCATCCCTGCCTGACATCTCCAGCCCTTGAATTTAATTTCCAGCAGTTGGCTTCATCTTTGCACCCTGTACTCTGCTGGCTAGACTGCTGTGTGTTAATGCTTTCCTAGATGAAAACACACCACCAGGATACTGGCTTGCAGGGGAGCTTGACCTGAACTGGGACAGACCTCCAAAACTGCATCCTCTTTCCACTACGCCTGCTGCCCTGAGACTGTATGCCAGGTCTCTCTAGCTGGGTCACATACTCCTCCAGGACCGTTCTGTCTCCAGTTCCTCCGGAAAGTGGCTCTGCAGGGAAGAGCAGAGGAGACACATGTCCTGTTTCCCCTCTCCTCAGGGACACCGGGGCCCACCACTCCTGTGAGAGTTCTCCACACAGCTCAGCAGGGACAGAGGGGGTTTGTCCCTGGCCACTTTTCCAGAGCCAGTCACCTTCCTACCACTCCCACTGTTATTTTTTACCTCTGAGCCTGTGGTCCTTGGCAGTGGCCTCTAATATCAGGGGTGACGGATGGCCCTCGCACCACAGTACTCTGCAGGTCCCTCCTTTGTGGGCTGACGTGCTCAGACTCTGGCTCAGTGTGGGCCTGGGAACCTAAGGGGCTCTCTTTGTGTCCCATACCAATGATTTTGTGTACTTACTGGCATGGAAGGGAGCAGAGGCATGGATGTGGCTGAAGCGCCGCCCTGAAGAGGTCAGGTACCAGTGCTGGATGGCAGGCTGGGGGTCGTACTCTGCCACTGCCATGCCATTCACTGCTGTCATCATGAGTGTGTTGAGCACCTCATTGGACAGCTTGGTCCTCTCATCGGTCCTGATCCTGTTCATGGCCTTGAACCCCCGTGCACAGCAGGAAGTGGAGATGGGCACACTGACCACCACAGCCATGAGCTTGCTCAGCAGCGGGAATCGGCAGTGCTGAGTCAGGGCATTCTTACACAGCTCGGAGAATGGAAGGTTCTGGGTAGCTGCTTTCAAGCCCAGCCACTCCTTCAGCAGCGCTTCCTCACTGTACCCCACAGGGAGGGAAAGCTTAAAATACCTGGCGAGGCTTAGAATGTCATCGTTCCCAAAGCAGGCCAGTTCAGTCCCACTGGGCCAGGCCTTGGTGTCTAATGCCTCCATGCTCTTGAGCTGTGCGGGGCGGTCTGCATCAAACCTCTGCCGGAGGAACTTTACCCCAGTCAGGATCATTCTCTCCCTGGCTGCCTGGAACTGCTGCTCGGCCTTCTCCACTCTGTCCAGGAAGATGCCATGGAACTGCCCATCCTGGAAGCCAGCACTGAACTCCTCTTCTTTAGGCCCCGCCTGTTGGCGGAGGCTCTCCAGTGCCACATAAGCGCGCACCAGGGCAGAATTCAGCTCCGTGACCAGCACAAGCTCCTTCTGGCATACCTCAGACAGAGGCTTGTAGATGTTCAGAAAATCCAAGAGGAAGTGGCAGAACTTGATGAGATGGAGGCCCTTCGCCTGCCTCAGCATGCCTTTGGCCCTCTGACCAATCTGGCCCCCGGCCTCCACCACGCTCTGGAGGTGCCTAGCCAGGGCAGGCCAGCTCACGATGAACACGTTCAGAGTGCGCCTTTTGCTGGCCACCCACCTGAAGGTGTTCAAGTCCTTCAGGCGGAGGATTTCCTGCTCCAGTGGGGCTGCAACAGCCTGCAGCTCGCCGAGCCTCCTGTTTGAGGACTGGTAAAACTTGAAGACGGTCCGGAGGTGCCGGTCGCACTTCCTCACTAGATCGATGCTCCCACAGGCGTCCACCACAGCCACGTGCAGCCGGTGGGCCACACTGTGCAGAGGCAGCAGCTGAGGGATGATCTCCTGGAACTTTTCCACGAGGCCTCCCTTGCAGCTCAGTATGGCAGACCCATCGACACCCAGGCCCACCACCCAGCCGGGCTTCCGGAAAGGGATGTCCAGCTCATCCAGGGCGGCAACGATGGTCTCTAAGTAGCCATCTGCTGTCTCGCTGGAGAGAGGGGCCAGGGAGATGAACGACTCCTTCACTTCCGTCTGCTTCAAGTAGCGCATGTATATCCCCACGCTGGCCTGGCTGGAGGAGTCCGAGCAGCTGTCCAAGAGCAGGCTCACGCACGGCGAGCTCCGGATGTCTCCCAGGATCTCCTTCTTCAGCGTCTCGGAGATGTACTTGATGAACTGGGTGCATGCGGTGCGATTCCGGTACTTGCCTAACAGTGTGGTGCCAGTGCTCTGCAGGAGTCGCAAGACCTTCTCGAAGTCATTCAGAGGCCTGGAGTGGTAGGCAATGGAGTAGGCAGCTTTGAAGAAGGGTTCCATGTTGGCCATGAGGTGGCTGGAAACCTCTGGGGTGAGGGCAGGCTGAGGGCTGTCATCTCTCATCTCCACAGTGTTGACACAGAGCTTGTGGGCCTTACTGACCTCGTGGTATTTTAAAGTTTCCACTTTAAAAGGCCCCGTGTAACCTTGGACCAAGCGGGATGACTTGTCGTGGAGAGTTGGTCTTTCTTTGCAAACAGAGCAGAACAGTTTGGTCTCCTTGGAGTCCATTACTAGCCAGGGGAACTGCCCAAACCATGACCTCTGAATGGAACGGGGCCTGTACGTCCTCTTGATGCTCCCAGGTCCATCCGTTTCTTCACACATGCTGGGAGGGCAGTGGGAGCTACGTGTCTCCGCAGAGGCTGGGTGAGGGATGGACTTTGTAGCTGAGGCCTGGGTTTGGATGTCGGCTTCTCTCACTGCCACCATCTTCTTTTTCCCTTTGGAGAAATTAAATTACGCTTAGTTTTGCTGTCCCGAGCTCTGTGGCCTACCAGCTAAGACACCTGCATCAAGTAAGAGCCCCTTGTGCAAAGCAGAGAAGCTGAACATGATCTCTCCTTCTAGAGATTGCTGCCTCTACGAGCCCTTCCCAGCATTACTAGTGAAGGTCTCCCTGGCTCCCTGAAGAAGAGGCAGACCCTTGCTTCTTCTTTCACTGGCTTCCCTGCCTGCTCACTCTGATACCCCAGGACTATGAGCCAGCAGATGCTGATGAACTTAATCAACCACCGTGGCCACAGACATTAGCGGATAAACAGGCAACTTTAATCTTCTCGTGAAGCTTCAGGAACAAGTGAGGCTAACTCCAAGCGCCTTCATTTCCTCATGAGTCTTAGAAAGGAGGCTAAGACTCAAGAGTGGCCACTGGCCAGCGAGTTAGAACTGTGTAAGAGATGTAGTCCTTACAGGCCACAGAGTTGTCACTGCTCCCCAGGAGGAAAGGAGAGGAGAGGAGCATCCAGAGAGTCAGGGCCTTGTCCAAGCCTCCCATTTGCCTCCCCACACCAGCTCTGCCACAATTCCATCAGCACTTCTGCTCAGTGGAGGACTTACTTTCTTCTGTCCTGTCCCAGTGGCCTAGACTGTTCTATACCCTCAGGTATGGCTACTTCCTCATTCACCTTGGTCTACCTGTGGCCTCATAACACAAGAGGTCCAGGGTAAGCATGGCTAAACTCAGGTTGCATGGCTCTGCATAGCTACATGTGTCTAGTCTTGTGCCATCTAGAACTTGATGAAGCTAGACTCACCCAGGGAGCGAATTTTCCCTGATGTTAGCCCATTAGGGCCCTTGATCCAGGGTGCAGCTCTCCGTTCCAGTTTTGTGATCAAGTCTGGTTTGGCAGCAGAAGGCTCTGTTGCAGAAATGAAGAGTCATACTATCACTAAGCTGGCAGAGCACATAGCCTACCACAAGCTAGACCCGGCCCTGCAATGTGCAGATGTGACTGGGTTCTGTCCTTGGCAAAGGCCAGTTCGTGGGACAGGCTTAGAGATACTCATCTGAATGCCAAAGCAGGGGCCAGGAAGGCTGTAATTCTTAGCCAGGATGGACTACTTCTATGGCCAGCCATGGGAACCAAGAGCCAGTGAGATGCTTCCGGAAAGAATGGGCTGGGAGTGGGCAGTAGGACAGAGAATAAAACAAAGGAGAAAGATGCAGGGATGCAAGAACCTGAAGCTGCCATCAACAACTGGCTATGCTCGAGCCCCACCCCATGTCATCTCAGCTGGCCTTTGCCCAGGGCCAGCTGACACATCTGAATGAAAAAAAGCCTCTGAAGTATCTACCATCTGTAAGGGAGCCTGAAATGTGATCAGAAGAGTTACGCACTACTCTTTACTTCACCCAAAGGCGTGCAGAAAAGTTCTTCCTTATTTAATGTAAAATCCGTTACTATCTCCTTTCGTGCTTTTGTGTGTTTGTGAAGGTGTGCAAACAAGGGCCAGCAAGGTGGTTCCGAGGGTAAAGGTGCCACTACGCTTGATGACCTGAGTTCAAATTCCCCAGGAACCATATGGTGACAGGAGAGAAAATACTCCCAAAAGTTGTTCTCTGATCTGTATGTATATGCCATGGCATGCATGTGCCTTGACAAACACACACACACACACACACACACACACACACACACACACACACACACTGTTTAAAACACATAGAAGGAACGAGTAGTGCTGAGTGCTTCTGGGAGGAACTGAAGGAATGTTTATCTTTTGTGTCACTTGAATATTCATATGCACAGCATGGATAATTGTGTGTGTGCGTGTTTAAAAACTACGTAGGTAAATGACTACCGGGTGGCAGACTGAACAGGTGTCCTTCTTGAAATGGCCTTAAAAGGAGAGTGAAGAAATAACTAAAGACACAAGTCTGGAGAAACCCTGTGCTGGACACACCAGGAAACAGAAGCTTCGGTAGAGCTGCACCACAAGGGAAGGCGAGGTGGTCTGCAGCGCAGAACCCAGACCAGTTCTGGTGGGCCAGACTGGGGTAGGGTGTCAGGGAGTCATGAACAGAGCACACGCATGACCAGTGCTCGCTCAGAAAGCTAAAAGGCCCTTGCGGCTCTCCAAGGAAACAGCACCATCTCAGAGGAAAGAGAAGAGAGGTTAAAAACACAGGAAAAAAGTCTTCCAAAAGAAACTCCATTCACTGGTTTTCACTCACGGCTCAGGGGTACACTGCTAGACACTAGGCACCCTGTGGGGGGAGGGGGAGGCTTCTACCTTCTGCACCATTGACAGAGAGTGGTGGTGGAGTTGTGTGTGTCTGTGTGTAGAGCTCAAACTGTCCTCCCTTCCCCTCCAAACAACAATGGATACTGACTTTTTAGTCTCTTCTATGACACACTCAAGTTACAGCTGGCCCTTAGAGTATCACCTACCCTTAAATGATCCCAGCCACAGTTTCCTAACGGCTTTTAAGGCTTTGTTTCTATTTATTATTACTAGTTATTGTTATTATTTTTGTTGTTGTTGCTACATAGGGTCTCTCTATGTAGCCCTGGCTCTCCTGGAATTCTATGCAGAAGAGGTCGGCCTCGAACTAATGGGATGAACCTGCCTCTGCTCAGATTAAAGGTGTGTGCTACCACACCCAGCAAGGTTTTGCTTTTAAATAGAAATAAAAATAATAGTTTAAGAAAAACCTCCTATATGAAAACAAGCAGGGGGAAGTACTAGAAGATCTAGAGACACCGAAAGAGAGCAACACAGAACTTCAAAACAGGCACTAAGAATCAATAGTGAGGGGTAGCGACAGTGCTCAGCTCTTAAGATCACTTTCATAACTAGGCACTGAGGCGCACTCCTGGAATCCCAGCGCTTGGGAGGAAGAGGCACGTGGATCTCTGTGAGTTCCAGGCCAGCGTTTTAAGTGAGTCCAGGCCAGCGTACACAGAGATACCCTGTGTCAGCAAAAGAAGAAATCACTAAAGATCGCTTCCTGCTCTTCTAGAGGACCACGTTCAGGGTCCAGTACCCACAGTGGTGGCTCACAACCACCCCTAAGTCCAGCTCTGGGAGGTATGACCCTCTTCTGAACTCCGTGGGCACCGCTACACACGTGGCAGACATGCACAGCAACACACACACAAGAAAGGTTTTCTTTTTTCATGTGTGTGGGTGTGGTTTATCTACATGTATGTCTGTGCGCCACGTGTGTACCTGATGTCCTCAGAGGCCTGGACTAGAGGCACAGAAGAGTGAGCCCTGGGGGAGCTGGGAGTCAGACCCAGCTCCTCTGGAAGAGCAGCCTGTGTTCTTAATCCTGGCCTTTCCCTTTGGCCCCCAAATTAATATTCTAAAAATAAAGAACTTCAAGAAAGAGAATTAACACTGACAATAAGAAAGGTAGGATGGCGCTGCAGGAAGGAAGAAACAGGGCTCAAACACAATAGCAGACCCAGATATTTTAAAACAAAACAAAACAAAAATAACAAAAACAATTGTTGGGAAATAAAATGAAGACATCTATCTGAAAGTTGTAAAAAAAAAATAAAAAATAAAAAAGCAGAAAAATGATGATAAGAAACAGAGCCCAAGTCTAGAAAAGTATCTGACAAACAAAAGAGGTTTGAGGGAAAAAAAAGAGAAATCACTGAGGAAATGGCAGGACGTTGTCTCCAGCTACAAAGCTGGGGAGGGGAGCCACAGAGCAAACAGTACCAAGGCCCACTGAAGGCATGTTGTGAAAGACTTTAGTACACTGGATGAGCTTTTCAAAAGTAATGATTCCTTTCAATTATGCACGTGTCTGTGTTGGATATGTGGGTGTGAGTGAGCAGGTGGCAGGTGCCATAGGCTGGAGTTACAGGAAGCTGTGGGTGCTGGGAACGAACCTTGAATCCTCTGCAAGAGCAGTTCATGCTCTGAACTGCTGAGCCACCTTTCAGACTCTACCGGGACAGACTTTAAAAGCTCTCAGGGGAGAAATAATTCATGTGTTCAAAGACTTAGGAATAAGAAGAGTGTTCAATTTCTCAGCAGCACCAGTCAAAACCAAACAGACCAATGCTTCCAGCGCTGCCAAGGACATGGTTTCCCTCTGGAATCCCACACTCATCACGTCATCACTCAGTTGTGTGGATACTATGAAGGTAACTGCAAGTCTGCAGTGTCTTTTTTTTTTTTTAAGCTTTTGTGTATAACACTTGTTAGGAAGATACTAGGAGATGTGTCCACTGAAGTGTCCACTGAAATGTCCACAAAAGGGACCAATTCAGGAAGCAGGAAGGTGACAAAGTGACAAAGGAGCTACGTGGCAGGCCAAGAGGAAAGTGCTCAGATAAAGACTGAAGTCAACAGGCTTCAGGAGGTTTGACCACAGGGAAAGACATCAGAGGAATTTCTTAATTCCACTGAAGAATTTGAGAAGAATCAGAGAGGGTACAGAAAAAAAAATACCCAAATAAAAAATATGAAAAAATTCCACTTCCAGGATGAGAAAATTCTACAGTGAAGGACACAGATCAATGCAGCACTCAGCAGTAAATAATACACAAGCACAAGCAGGCCGATGGCTTACATCAATGCAACCATTGAAGCGTGCTATACCTGTTCTGAGAGGATGGAGGGAGAGAAGTGGACCTGGCTGGCGTAAGAGACCATGTCTTCATCCTCCACAGTAGGAATCACTAGGGAACATCTAAAATTAAACCAGGGAGAGCAATGAACACACGCAACAGGGGGCTTGGGTCTGACTATCTACCCTTAGGCTGAAGTCATCCAGCATGCGGCACCAGGGCCAGGAAGATGGCTCAGCAGATAAAGTACCTGCCATCAAGCGTGGTGACCTGGGTTCAATTCCTGGGACCTATGCAGTGGAATAAGAGAACCGAATTCCCACACGTTGTCCTCTGGCAGGTACACACCCACATCCAGGCACACATATACAATAACTTCTAAACAAGTAAAATATAATTCGAAAGGAGTTGAAATGGAGTTGTGTGGCCTCTAACAGCGCAACAAGGCCCCTACTAGAGCCACAAATTAAAACCACAACAACCCAGTGCTAGAAATGGGTTTCTTCTTTTGGAGCTGGCCAGTGAGGTACCACAGAGCCCCAACCATTACAGGACATTGCTGGCATCTGATTACCCTCCTGAACATGACAGCGAGACCCTACTGATGGAGACATCACATACTCGAGCCACAGAACATGGAGAAGTCACACTAGTACTGACCGGAAGCTTCATCCCTCTGGGTTAGCACTCATACTGCTGGACGGTACTACTAGGGGAAAAAGTAAGCACCAGTTTCACCCACATGTGAACCCTGCACGCCACAATAACGACTGGCCTGGCAAGACACGCCCACTGGTACAACACGGGCGTAACCAACCCTTTCTGATTAGATTTAACAGTAGTTCCGTAAGACAGGATCCACACGGGACACCATTACTGAGGCCAGGAACCTGTGGCGAGGCAGGGAGATCTCCGTGAGTTCAAGACCAGCCTGGTCTTGAACAGAGTGGGTTCCAGGACATCCAGGACTATAAAGATAAACCCTGTTTCAAAAACCCAGAAAAAAAAAACAAAAAAAGACTGTTTCAGAGGCACCTGAAGTAAATGGCCTAACTGCGTAGCACATGGTACCTTCTTAAAGTGACAATCTGAGGTTAAGGGGCTGGGGAAGCTGGCAGAGAGCTTGTCCAGCGCGCACAAACTGCTGGTTCAACCCCCAGCACAACAGAAGCCTGCTGTGGTGGTGCATGCCTATATTCTTAGCACCCAGGAGGTGAGGCAGGAGGATTAGAAGTTCAGTCATCTTCAACTACAAAGTGAATTTGAGGCCAGGCTGGAACGCATGGACTCTGTCTCAAACAACCAAAACAACCAAACCAGACCAAAAG